GTGTGTGTGTGTGTGTGTGTGTGTGTGTGTGTGTGTGTGTGTGTGTGCGTGTGTGTGTGTGTGTGAGCTTGAATGCACGTGTGATCAGATGACCAGGAAGAGAAAGAATGAGGGCTTGTACCTAAGGCTGAGGGAGACTGTAGATGGCCAGTTTTAATCAGATAGTGCTGCTGATAAGTGACATTGAGGACGGGCAGCACGGGGCTGTCAGAGACATCTGTCATAGCCCTTTCCAGTCACATGTTTGATCTGAGAAAATGTAGAGACTCTGCTTTGTTGTTCTGCTATCTTATCAGCATCTGCAGTTATATCTCAACCGGCCCATCCATCATATGATAATGCCCTTTACATCTCCCGTACAAATGCCAGTCACATCTTGTCTTTGCAAGGCCGAAAAACATCAATAACTATTTTCTCAAAGACGTATGAAATGAATGAAAGGCAGTTCATTTGGGGTGTCATTAGCAGAGCAACCTGTTGGCATCTTCCATACACACTATTTCATACTTTGATTAAGCTCTCTTCCAAAAATGTATTTTAACATTACCCATTTAAAAAGAAAAACGCTATTATTTCTAAAGCACCGCTAACGCTAGACAGATGGCGAGGCAACCTTGGGAGTTGACATTTGGATATGCCAGCATGTGACATTTCAATACAAAAAACTATCCTTAAAGAATAGATCTGTTTATCAATAGCTGCTTTAGAGATACGGCAATTTTGGCCCTTTTGTCATGACCACTCTGCATTTCATTCAGGCTTAAAATCTGAAGTGGCAATACGCACATAATAAGTTTGAAACTCAGTGTGAGACTGCATCAAAAGCTCCACTATTCTGATGTGGCAGATTTCAGATAGCATTCCTTTAAACAGTTATTTAATCAAATAATTGGCTTTTCAATAATTAGTTTGTGCATTTTGTATTTATTTATAAAAAATAGGGTCAGTAGTCACATAAATGGCACTTTGTCTGCAGTCATATTTCTGTGGACTCCTGGGTTGTTTTTAAAATATCTGTTCACTATGACACAGCTCTTCTTCATTGCATCTTTCAAATTACTTTCTCATTTTTGAAATTCCTACTTCAAACCTGCCTTCTTTTTTTAAACTATATCTCCCAAATGAAGTTATTAGCAGCATGCAAAGTAATCAAGCTGCATGGATACAGCCTCATTTCAGCCCCCTGACTCTCTCTGGGTGTGGCTCAGTCAAACAGGAAGTTGCTTTTGCAGAAGTGTGCACTACTCTGCATTTTTCTCCCCTAAGCTCTTCTCCTCTGAGTTACACTCATGCAGCCATCTCCGTGGTTTCTGCTGTAACATTCCAGTAATTTCCAAAAGACAGGCTTGGAAGAGGATTTACGGTGATTTATGCAGTACATGCTGTGAGGATGTAATTGAGCTTTCTTGCAGTTCACTACTCTTCTAAATACCCTGTCACAGGGGCAGTGGTAAACTGGCTTACGGTAGATTGCTTTGCACTACCTTAAACAGCATAACAGCACACCCTTATTAAGGAAGTATACAGCATGATTTCTTATTCATTCATTATGACCAGAGTGTGAACTGGCATGGCCACCCCCACCACCAGCTGGGATTTTTTGTTGTAATCAGGGGCCACTGAACTACTATTGTATCCTGATTTTTAAAGGTCCAATCAGTACATTTTTGGATGCATACATTTAAATCATTGCCACATAAAGATTGAAGAGTTTGAGTTCATTATTAAAAAAATAAAATCTTAATTTTGTGTGTTTGTTAACTGATCGTAACTATAAACACCTCACACATTACAGTTGTAAGCAAGCACAACATAAACGATCACGCAATAGATATTGGGTCGTCTTATCTGTCTTTAATCTATGGTTGTGTTATCATTGATGCTCATGTTGAATAAGGATCAGTTGTTTTTGTATATATATATATATATATATATACAAAAATACAAATAAACATAGTTATATATATTTTAATATTAAAATTTAGTTTGGACCTTGTTTCTACTATTAATCGTTGTTTTTTACGTTTAAATGTGTGGGTGCCGGCAAGATTAATACCTGCTATGGCAGAAGATAATGGGGATTGTAGAAAAATAAGAAATAAACACACAGTAGAATAAATTGTTTTCTAGTGTTGATGATTGTATAAAACACCTGTTTTGAATTTGGATTGTACATTTAAAACATTGTTTTTTGTGCTGTACTTTGATAGCGCCACATAGATCTGATAATGATTTTCAGTGTACTTTGACTGGGATGAACTTACTAAATGAATACACTAAGCTTTCAAGTTGTTGTCATTTACTAATCCACATAAGCAGCAGGTGGACACTATTTTTCCTGAAAGAAAACGTGAAAGGGAGTTTCTGAATATTGTTAGCCCACTGCCTCCCCGTTTTGTTGTTCATAATAGATGGATTTAATTTCCAAAATGCTATGATTTTCCTTGCTGGATTTTTCTTCTCTCTGTTAAGTTGTTTTTTTCCTCTTGCTGTTGCCTTGCAAACCCAAGCATCAGTTCAAGACCTTAATATGGTTTTGTGCAGTGGGGGATGTTAAAGCACAGAATCTCACATTTGTTTTGTGTCTATGCTGTTTCATGTTCAGAAGGTTTCACAACAGTTCACATTGTTAGGTCTTTCAGTGTCTCAAAAGATGCAGCGAGCGAGCATGTGTGTGTGTGTGTATGTGTAGACCTCATGGGAGAGATAAGTCACTCTTCCAGAGAAATATTTATTTCATGTGTTTTCAGACCTTGTTTCTCTCCATATGTTTATTATTGCATATTTACACTAAAACAAAAAGCTTTAAGTTGACTTGACAGATGCGTGTGAACTTTTTTCTCACCGATCTAAATACTTGAATTGGGTAGTAACAAGTTACATTTTACTCCATTACATGTCCTGAAGTAAGTTTTTGTCGAAAACGGTATTATTTTAATGCAACAGACTTCCAACTCTTACTTGAGTAGATTTTTACAGAAAAATCATTACTTTTACTCCTTTACAATTGGATACATTCATTATCCTACCGCAGCTACGCCTCCACATGACTCTCTGTTCAAAGCAGCATGGCTGAAGCCTCAGCAGGAGAGGATGAAACCGGTACGGTTGGTGTTTTCCACGCGTTTTTAGACACAACATGTGAACGCCTCTAACGTTAAAAGAGCCATAACAGCAGCAGACAAATTAAACGCTGGTCTGAAGTTAGTACGTCAGAGAATACTTTAACACTCTCAGTTATTGTTTTGCAAAGTAACAGTACTTTTACTTGAGTACATTTTTTGGCGACAGGAGCCATCACTGCTTGATTCAGACATATTGCACTAAACACGGTCGTATGCAGCCGCTTCAGAAAAATGAACCAGGAATTCTAGCATGAAGCAGAATATTGTCTTCAAGATGGGCAGTCGATAGTTCCAGCATCACAGAAGAAGAAAAAAATTGTACTCCGCAAGTTCTTTGTCAGTGGCTGTATTTATTTCTGGGGAAGGGGGTTCAATTTACCCAGAATCCCCCGCTCTGAAGGAATAAAGAGAGTCTGTGGCGATAATGCTCCAGCTCGTCAGATGCTCAGAGATGATCCAAGGCAGGGACATGATATCCCGGCTAAGCCTTCAGTAACCCCCCTCTCCCCCAGCTTGTCGAAAGCATCCAGACAAAAGACACGGAACAAAGGAATTATTTTGAAGACTTGATTAAAAAGACCCTATGTTTCTGCAAATCTGCAGTCCAGGGTAAGTTTGTATTTTAGCATGCTGCAGTAGGACCTCTGCTGAATTATCTAAAAGGAATATAAAACCTAAACATCACACAGCTTTGGGGTGTGATGAGGTAAAGGGGGTTTTCGGAGATCAACAGGGATACAAGTTGTAAATTAAATGCCAAAAAGAGCTTTGTTAGCAAATATTACACTACACATGAACCTGAGTTTGGCCTCTATATACTGCATTCTTAAGACTTGATAGTACTACAAACCATAATATAGTTTTTTATTGCTTGCTTGGCTAAGCCGTCAGGGATTTGTACTTTAACATGCGGTGCACAGAAAATATACATGGTTTGTTCCCTTTTCTTTGTTCTGACAAACACATGGATTTTTTCTTTTTTTTTTTCAAAGTGAGTAGATCATGTCACTTTCTACCAGAGGATATTTCAGGAATCCATATCTGGCAGGTTTTCATGCATGTTTTGTTGGCTGTTTCCTCCCTGAGCACTGCTGCATGTGAGGTGTTGGCAGGTTTTCCACCGCTGTGTAGTCCTGGGATTCAAGCCCTAAACTCCACATAAGATTTTGACTTCAACATAAACTGTTATGAGTGGATTTAGTATTCAACATAATGAGCCATTAAACAATTACTAGCGTTGTTTTAACTCTCACATGTATCATTTCTCTTCGAAGTATTTCATTGGAAAAATTAAAGAGTCATTTAGAAATGCTAATTACTTTTTCCCCCTCACATTTGTTTACTCTGATTCCCAGTTGAAATTGTGTTTTTTCTGACCTGAGTTTTTTCTTTCTTTCCTTTAAACAGTTATAAAGTAAGAAAATATTGTAATGGTCCATTGTAATTGGTCTCCAATGAATAGGTTAGTAAAGCCAGCCCACCCTGAAGTTAAATGAGTGTTTCACTGCAGTAATATTGTTTTTTCATGGGGCAGTAGTAAATTATTACGAGAGCTCTACTTAGCACTTTAGGGTTTGTAGATTGAATGTTACCTGCCAATGAACTCGCATCGTGTCCTCATTTTTGGGCTGATAAGGTGTACTTTTGTGGAACGTTACATGCCAGCAACTTTGGGAAGAGAGCAACCGATTCCTATTATTTTTGTCAACCTCTTCCTTTTGCCTTGAAAACACGTTGAAGGCGAAGTATGAAGTGGAGAAGAGTGCTACCGGCTTTTGTGCGGAGAAGTTTGCCAATCTTAAAAGATACAATAAACTGCAATCGAGGAGTTCAAGTTCGCTGTCACAATTTCCATTCATTTGCCATTTTATTAGTTGTAGTCAGACCTTTACTTGTATTTCATCGCCTCCGTCAAATGTCATAGCTGTTTTTGCACATCTTTAAATCACTCCTTCGGGTTATTACAAAGAACTCAGAGAATCTATTTAGTGAGCGAGCAGTGGCATTGGTATTCAACGGAAGACAATATTGTGCTCCGTTGATGGTCTGCTACAACAGCAATACGAAACATTATTTGGTGGAGATTGCCCATTTTTGCTCATCTCATTACGTTCATTTCCTTTTTAGAACAGCAACGAATACAAAAGCCACGGATGTTAGCAGTTCAATGCTGCAAAATGGCTATTGACGGTCCTCAAGTTGATTCCGCAGCACTGCCCAATTGTCCTGCCACTGTACAGGAAAAGGTTACTGTGAGAGTCTATTCAGTGCAAGTGATGGCTGTGCTCTTTCAATGCAAGAGAGTCATTGTTTCAATTATATCCATGTAATTACATCTATAAATTGTAATGTGTTTGTGTGTGTGGGCAAGCGCGCGCGTGTGTGTGTGTGTGAGACATGCCTCGTTATGTGAGCAGAAAACTATTAAGAGAAAAAAATATGGGAAAAATGAAATTATGTTCCATGTTATCAGCCTGGTGACAAGCTTGCAGCTTTGACAGATAGTCTGATAGGATGGTGACCAGAGCGGCAATTAGTCATTCCAGTACAGAGACGGAAAGGTGCGGCTGTAAAGCATGCAGTACTGGGAGTTCAGCGGAGCAGATTTCACTGTCGCGCAGACACGGGCATCAGTTGCTTGCAAATCCTCTTTATTCCCCCATAAATCCCCACGGCTGTGCACATCCTGTCAGGACGCCGGTGTGGGCATGTCAGCACTCCCCCACCGTGAGCAGAGCTGTGCCGGCAGTATGGACACATTACAGACATAATCAAATCCTACTTATTTCAAGTGTGAGGCCACAAAGGCTGCTGTAATAACGCTGTCTGTCATTTGCAGGTTTTTTATTTTAGTCGAAGCACTGTGTTGTATTCCGGATTTGTATATAATGAACATGGACGGCCTGAGGGAATCACACTCTTGATCCTGGGTGCATTAGAGCACGGAATGACAAACTAATCTACACAAGAAGATTAGTGATAGCAATGACACTTTATATAGAAACTCTGCTCAGAGATCTGTTCAGGTAGCCTACAGATTGGGAGTCCGAAATTCACTTTGAACTCTGTTACCCAAATGCAGTAAGGGGAGAAAATAACATGAACACCATCTACAAAAAAGGCAGAGCACATGGACGTACTGAATCAACTGAATGTGTGCTCTTGTTGTTGTGATTATGTCGTAGGATGATCCCGTTATTTTGTCCACCTGTGAGAAAAATAAGATTTGGCAGCAGCATAAAAGGGGAAGCCCTGCACTTTATGATCCATTAAGTTGGGGGACACACAGGTGACAGACGGTGGCTGTAGATCAGTAAAGTGGGTCACTCAATAATCGTAAGGTCAAGGGGTTCCTCCTGTCCATGACACTAAATCAAAATTGGTCCCAATGGTCAGTGAATGAGAGGCAAACTCCACAGCGCTTTGAATACAAGCACTATACAGAATGATGGGGTAGTTCAATATATCCTCACGATTTCCAATGAATGTCCAGCAACACGTGTCAATTTCCACTCGTTACATGCATACAGGCTTTCAATACAAACTTCCGTCTTCACAGGAAACAACTTTGTTAGGTTTGGGCAACAAAACTATTTGGTTAGATTTAGGAAAAGGTCGAGGTTTGGGTTCAAATAACTTCGGAAATGCCGTTATGTAACTATGAAAGGGGTAGTTCTCATGTGAGCTAGGTATAGAATTTGATAAATTACAAAGAAATGGACAGAATTGATGCAACAGAGGCTGAGATATCATAACTTTTAGTCCCTAATTTGGATCAAGCTCCAAAAACACGAGATCCTACATTTCCCATAATACATTCAATTGCGTCTTTTTGTAAGACCCCGCCTGACTGGTAAATGCACCCATCTTTAAAATGATTGTTATTGAATGCTTTCTGTTCAACAATTGTAAATGTGATATAACTCTAATGACATTTTCAGACTTGAGAAAATCTTGCTTCAGAGCCTCAGAATATCTTGTACGACTGTTTTCACTGGCGGAGTAGTACACCTCATGACTAGTGATGTTTAAAATCAGCTTACAATACGCTTTAGACCTTTGTATTGCATTGCATTATGTAACATCTCTCATAATCGCCTTACAATGTAATGCAGGCTGCAGCAACACTGCAAAATAAATGAAAATGAACACAACAGTAACATTTATATTAAATTCGAGATCATGTTTTTGCGGCCCTCCCTTGTAATAAATACAGAACTGTCAAACAGAAAACCAGTGTTCAGTAGTGTGCTTAATGCCGGCAACCAACCATAGCGGTTGATACTGTAGGTGTTATGGGATTTTTTAGTTTGACATTTTTGTGATAGAGTCTAGGTGCTTACCCTGGGCAAATTTTTCTACCTGTTAATAAAACTCTCCCTCGGTGTGCGGAGGCGGCTGAGACCCTGCATGTTTCCTTGCGGATGTGTCAAAAGGAAGACAGCGGGGAACAAGGTGAGGGCAGGAAGGCGGGGGGGGGGGGGGGGGGGGGAGACTAGGAATGTGCACAGGCCATTTATTGGTGAATGTTCATTAGCATGGAGCATGGGCCGTTTCCTCTCAACGGGGAATGAGCTGTGCTATCTGACATCGCCGACACAGTAAACAAACGGCGCCCTGCGCATCTCTGCTTCACTTAGCCGGACACAGACGAGTCCATTTTAAGTGGGCGCTCAACTGAAAAAAAAAAAACTTTTCTCAGTAATTAGCTAATGCACTTCCAAAATGTCCTTGTGCTGAGCTGAATGCAACTTGAACTAGGTTTTATTTTTTTTGGGGGGGGGGGGGGGGGGGGGGGGGTGTGTCGTGAATGGCACTTGTCTTAGACCCCTCAACTCGACTTATTACTCCCTCACAGTGTTGAGAATTTCTGCTCTCTTCGCTCGTCTTTTATCAAAATCATTCAAGTTCAGAGCATGGCTAGTGAGATTGATGGAAAATTGAGCTGCTCTCTCATGCAGCAAAGAACAGTGCAGCCATTCCCTCGCCTGCCACTCATCCATCAGTCCAAATGTGCACAGATATAGACTATTGATAAATGCCTGTGAACTATTCTGAGACTGGAAATTTAAAGGCTTCAAATTTTGCCTTGTTCTACTGTGGTGCACGGATAAATCTGGCTAAATGCTAGACAGTGATACTCTTTGACACCTGAGGCAGCCATGTATTTCTCTGCATGGGGACACCGGGTGCCAATTTATCTCCAGACTTGTGTCTATTTCTGATGATTGAGCTCTATAACTTCCAGAAATGGCCTCTTAAATCACAATGTATTTTACAGTGTGTGAACTCTCGATGAAATTGCAGACGGTGTCTACTGTTTCATGGTGAAATAACTGTCTTAAAACATTTTTCAAAATCGCTCAGTCAAGGGGCTCGGGCAGCCATTTCAGCTATTTGAAGCACTGAAAGCGTTCATATAAGGAGAGCCTGGTACAACAGCATAACATCACAAATATATGGTTTTATAACATTGGGGGCCATCAGACTTTATTTCAAACATGTTCAAGTAATAGATACAGTTTTTATCTTATTAAAAGGAATAGTTTGGCAAATATGCTTACACACCATCTTGCCTAGAGTTTGCTGTAGAATCAGTTACACTCTGGTTTTGTATGGACTACACAGATGACATGTGTTAATTAGGGCACTTTACAGGTTCCGTTAATGGTGTTTTCTAACAGAGCCATGCTAGCTGTTTCCAGTCTTTATGCTAAGCTAACCGGCTGCTTGCTGGAGCTCCATATTTGCCGTACACGAGACCGATATTGATATTGTGATTTCTCAGCAAGAATTATTGGCAGAACTAAATAGGTTAGTAGTGCGATGTTTGGTTTCAAATTGTGAACCATTAGCCATCCATTTTTATTGGTAATCAACATACATAAGCTGGCATTTTTCTCAACAGCCTTTTCAAGTGTTTCCCCTGAGGTTAGGTCCTGCTAAAATGCTTCTGAGAGAAAACAAACCATTTTAGTTTATTTTATCAGCCTAATGATTTAATGGCCACAGCTTCCAGTGTGGTCCACGTCTGTGTGAATGTATTAGTGACTGAAACGGTTTACTGATCGTGACATTATTTACGGTTATTGTCCTGGTTTCAGACTCCAGAGCCGGCGAGGGGGCACCGCAGAAAATTGACCACGCTGTCATCGGAGGAGTGGTTGCCGTGGTGATGTTTGCCATCCTCTGTGCACTCATTGTTCTTGGTCGATACTTTGCCAGACACAAAGGTAAGGCATCGGCAGTGCAATCATACTTGATCATGAACACATCTGCGTTCAAGTGCTTTTTTTGTTGTGGTTGCGATTGGAGTGAAATAGGATTGAAGTGCGCATGAGGTGGACGAGGTGCGGGGCTAATTTGCCCGTACTTGTCTGTGCTTTTGCAGGAACTTACTTCACACATGAAGCCAAAGGGGCAGACGATGCAGCCGACGCAGACACGGCCATCATCAATGCGGAGGGCGGACACAACAACTCGGACGAGAAGAAGGAGTACTATATCTAAACTGGACAGGCCAGGAGAGACGGGTGGGGATGCTGGTGGTGGTGGTGCTGTAGGAGAGCATTATGTCTAACTCTGATTGGTTACGCGAAGGCTTTGGGGAGTGGGGAGGGCGAGATTTAAAGAGGAAGAAAAGAAAGTGGAAAGTTGGACTGGCATGGCCAAGTGGTAAGAAGAGGCCTTGCTGAGTCTCCTATCCGACCCTTCCTGGACTGCTGGGGCCTATTCTGTACAGTTCAATTATTTTACAGACAATTTTGTGCCTTGTTCTATTTCTTTTCTTTGTTTTGTTGTTTTTTCCCCCCTTCTCATGCTTGTTGGATTGGATTTTTCTTTTTCAATGTTACCCACCCGATCCTTTGTTGCATTTGGCTTCCGGAGTTTAAATGGGCCTGGTGATTGTCTATGTGTTCTGCGGCTAGCTTTTAGCTCATGTACCCAGATCTGAGTAGCCAGCTCATACACAGTTTATTTTCTTTCCCGACTCATCTACAGAGTTTAGTAACTGGAACACATTTCTCCCTGCTGGTTCAAAATCAAACACGCATCACAGTTCAGTTTCAGCATATAGTATTCCAGCGCAGATTTCAGTCACCCTCCCTTCGAGGTCAGGTTCACTGTGTTGATTACTAATGTAACAGTTGTGAGTAATCATGCTCATCATAGAATGTATTTGTTCCTGAAAGTGAAGTAGGAGTGCCGTTAAGTATCGTTTCACACTGAACCGCAAAGTACAACTGGTCGCTCGTTGGTTTTAAGAGAACATCTGACAATTAGTAGATGTGAGGTCAGTTTAGTATTTGTTTAGGGTATTGTGGAGTACAGTCAGACATCTTGACAGCTGTAATGTGCCATGATATAGAATAAAAGTTTTTATAGAGAAAATCGGAAGCACTTATTCCTTTTTTCCAACTCTGTATCGGTTTTTTTCTGCTGATTAAGAGGACAGCAGTGAATCAACCATATCAGATTACATTTACTTACATCTGTTGTTGTTTTTTGTCAGCAGAGAAAAAAATCTAAGCAATAGTTCGACATTATTTGACATCATAGTCTTTGTGCTAAGCAAAGCTAACTGTCTGCTGGCTGTATATTCATGTTAAGTGTGCACACACACTGGAAGAGTGGAAATGATCTTCTCTTGGTAAGAAAGTGTATTTCCCAAAATGTCGAACTACTCCTTTAAAAACAGCGCCTCTTTCCAAGCGTGAGTTATTATTAGCTTTCTTTTGTCAGAACTATTTTTCTTATCATCCTTTGGATGGATGGACCAAAAACAGCTGATAAGTACCGATCCAAAAGACTATATATGGTAGATGCGTATATGCGTTTATATGGGTTTTAGGGTCAAACTTTACTTTGACTTTATAATTACATCAACCTTGTAGTACCTACTGTAAAAGAGTGACTTTTCCAGCTGCATAGATCATAAACTCTCATTAAAATGTATTATTTGTTGGATATTGGTACAGCCTGCTGTGTGTGCTAAACATGGAATTCTTCACATTTTTATATCACCCACACGGTCGACCCTGGACCAAATATAGTAATTATGCGAGTGTGCGTATATCCAGTGAATATTACTTCTATACAGCAAAGGCTGAATGTCCACTGTGCGGAGTGCTCCTCTTTCTTTCTTCTTTGATAATACAGTACACCAACCAATTAACTGGAACTGTTTCCAGGGCGTTGGGGTGTTGTTTTTATTTTATTATTGAGATTGTACGGTGTTAAAGGGAAGAACGATTGTTACACTTTCAGTGGCAAAGATTCCTTTCAGTGATGTTTAAAGTATCACGGTATTTCCATGTGAATACCCAGAGTAAGTGGGGGGAAATAAATACAGCTTTTCACTGCTTATTTCCTGGATTAGAAATCCTTGCTAAATATACCGTACGTTTTTGCCCTTGCCCATATTTGAGTATAAAGAAATTCAATCACTGCAAACATGAATCGGTTATATTTCCTTGCTGTCTGTAAAGACATGTTACCTTTGGGCTGTCTTTGATAACTTGCAAGGGGCTCCCTGCCTTACAAGTTACCAAAGATTGTGCGTCAAGCTTTAGACTTGGTTTGGGGAAAGATCATTTTCTTACTGTCATCTGCAGGCTCAAACCTTCACACACAAGCCGTCTACTTTTGCAAATTTATTTTTTCCACCCACCAAAACAAATCAGACAGAGACGCAGTGTATCACAGCTAGAAGAGAAAGAGCCTGTTTGGTAATAAGTGAGTGATATCATTGTATTGCCTGAATAAGACAAAAAAAGTGTAAATGTACTACGAAAAAGGATAACCACTGCCTTAAACCCACCTCTTGATACTTATCATTGAAAGGACTGAAGGACTTAATTTAGTGCCTTCTTTGATTTTGAGGCATATGGTTAGTATCTCACAGTATCCTCATGTACACTCTTACCGTATATATCGTGTATATAGCTGTTCTTTCTATAACTTACAGGTCCAATACTCATCCAGGTTGTCTGTATTCACGCACCGTAGACTTCCATCACAATTACGACCTGGAGCATAAAAACTGGAACGAGTTTTAAAAAAAAAAATACATGTCCTTGTTAATCATGGCGGTGTGGCAGCTTCCACTGACTAGAATGTTCTATGCCAGGATGTAGTATTTATTGTCTTAATTAGTGATCAGAAATCTGTTTCAATTTGGTCATTATTATTTCCCCACTTTACTTCATTTATTTATTTGGATATCTTCAAGGGCAAGGCTTGCTAGTAATGTCAGAGAGGAACACGCTACTAATAGCTATATTAAGCTATAATAAAAGTACATTTTAGAGTCATGGAAACAGTTATGTGCATGACCTTTTACTTTGAGGTTTGATATTTATCTTAAATGGGTATAAAGTGACTGCTGCTTTTAATCGCGGAACGTAAAAAAAAATGGTATCGTTCTAATTCAATATTTTGATTTGTTTTAAATACTTGATATCTAGTATGTTTATTTTCACTCTCTCAGGTTCACGAGTGTTAATAGTTGTGTTTTTTTTTGCATCTCAGGTAGAATGCAAATTAAAGGCCCCAAGTATATACTGTAGTACCACAGCTATTCAAACAGTGAAGAAATCACAAGATGCACATGTTTTTTTTCTCATTTGTACATGTTTTTGTGTTCTTAATATGGTGCACTGTTACAGTAAACGTTAAATATTATTTTGCATAGACCTAGTTCACAAAGAAAGAAAACTAGATTTGTTAAGCAGACAAAAATTATGTACAGTCAGTGTCAACAAAGTCACATGAAACTTCTTCTTCTTCTTCCTCCACCTCAACACTTTGCTCATACAGTATCGGTTATTTAGTAATTATAGGATGTGACCACAGACAGTCAATCAAGCATCTGTTTGCATTCAGTTGATTCATCCATGCATTTTCATAAATGAAAAGATGGTGTATTTACTGTGACATGAAGTTTTAAGAATGATCTGTAACAACATGTGTTGGATATTTGGATGGAACTCATGTTTAAAGCCTGGGGAGGGAGGGAGAGGGGTAGGCTGGGGTGGGCGTTGGTTCTTTTCTTACCCCCCAAAATGGTTGTTTTGTTGTTGAACCTTAAATTTCTCTCTGTACCCAGGTGACTTTTTTTTTTGTGTAGTGAAGAGGATGTTTCTCATATGGCCATGCATATTTTGTATTGGTTTACACCAACATTTTTACAAAAGAAAAAAAAAATAAGAAGAGTTCTTGTCTTAATAAAAAAGATATCAATGTTTAAAGTGTTGTGCTGTTGTGACTTGATCAAAAAACATGGTTTCACTTTGTAGTTCCGTCCTGCTCGGAGACACAGGCAGCATAATTTATTAACTTGTATTTGTTGTGAAAATTCTCTCGGCCTGTTTTAAACGCGCTGAATACATTAGCTGGATTGAACCTGTTCACTTTATCTCGAGCCGCTGATACTTGTCAAACTCGCAAAGAAGAAAGGGGAAAAAGGAAAAAAACACGATACCGATGTAAATTTGATGTGCAACAGCAGCTGCAGCAGCAATCTGAGTGACTGACACATGCACCAAGGTATAGAGGCGAGTAACGTTTTAAAGGACACAAAGACTGACACCGACAGGCTCGGGGGTCCCTGTTAAGGTTTCCAGCTGAACACGTGGATGTCAGTGATTTGACAAATTGATAGGTATTTCGAGGAACAAGACCGAGTTCATAACCAAAAGCAATTCTGTCATCATAATTCTGTCAGTGCCACCATTTCCCATTAATTTAAGTGATCCATCCCAGGTAAAGGTCAATAACATTATTCAAACTTTAATGGGAATAGTTTAACCTTAGAAACCAGCCACTTTTCTCCCTTACTCATACAATAATTGAAATACAATGCTTCCCTCGAGGAACATTAATACCTGCCTATTGAAATTTTGAAAGATGAAGCAAGGCATTTGCTGATTGTCTGTACCAGCTGTCAGTGCATCATGAATGCATGAATGTAGAGGGGTGATGTTTCAGTTAGATAATATTAATCCCATTTAAATGTTCAATTTTAATTTGGAATGGCATGTTTAAGTGTAATTAGCACAATGGGGAAATTGAGAGTGAACGAATGTCTGAGCATGGCTTGTTTAGTTGGCTAATTGATTGATTGAGATTGATGGCATGTAGCACTTGGCTTGGCTGAGGTATAATTAAATGATGTGGGAATAAATAGTGAGTGAACAAAGGCAAACGAAACAAGTGTCTGCACACTTATCTCCCTCTATGTTCACTCCTGTTCAGAACAAATACTAAGACTTGCACCAATCTTATTTACTTATTTAATGGCTGATTCGGTTATTAACAGGGGGACAAATCCCTCCAGTATGTTGCTTTTTAAACTACATTTTCATTCTTTATATAGAACAGCTCGCAGGCTTTTTGTACATAAGATTGACAATTTCATATAAGATAAAAGAGCCTCTAGCCAAAATTAAAATTGCCTCACTACAGCTTACAGGGGAATTGTTTATACAACATATAACAATCCGAATACCAGCAGACCTCATATTGGATAAGGCAGCACACACCACTGTCGTCCAGTTTCTCTTTAGCAAATGGCAATTTTGCTAAATATCTATTTAGCACTTTTAAGTAAAAGTACACAAGTATTAGTTTAAGAATATACTTAGGGTATAAGAGTAGGAGTAAAAGTACACATATGGCTCCTTTCAGTATAATACATCTATATTACTGGATTATAATAAGTGTTGCATTAATGGGTAAGCGTCACATATTGCAGCAGATGGAGCTAATTTCAGCTACTACTTTATAACCGGAGGGTAGATTCATCGATAATAATACGTCATCATTTATTAGTTGTATATAGATGTATTGCAGTAAAAAGCACATCATTTCCCTCTGAAACGTAGTGGTACTTAGGACAGCATATTGTGAAAACTGAACCGAAGCCATTGTAAACACTGTAAGAGAAGGTAACATGCAGGAACAAAAATGGCTTAAAGAATCCTAATCATAAACCAACTATTAATGTTTTTGGGGGGATATGCCAAGTCATTTTCAGTGAAACAGATGAGCTAGTTGTTTTACACAATGATGAAGGACAAGCACCTGAAGCCTGCGATAACCACGACACAATTATCTCCGACTGCTACAGTATGACCCAGAGAAATCTGCATTAATTAAAGCACACAAGCAGCCTGTTAATCCTGTATGAAAGTGTCAGGGAGAAGAGCCGCATGTGTTTGTGAGGTGATTAACTGGAAACCTGAAAGATGCTGTGAACAGCACTATAGGCTCTAATGTCAGCGATGCTGCTGCTTGATGTTTAATACGCTGATACTTAATCAGAGATTGATGTTTACCAGAGGGAGCGAATGTGTTGGATGTTGATGTGAAAGTTTTATGTGCGTTTAATTAGAAAAAGCTATAAAAAAAAAAAAAAAGAAAAAGTTCTCTCTGCCACCCCCAGCCCCCCCCATCCCAAAAAAGTGTTTCAGACAGGAAATCCGTAATTATCTGCTGAGCCTAAGCTTGAAGCAACATTCTCTGAAGTTCCCTCAACCAAATCTCAAGGTGACTCCTTTCTGCAGAAGCAAAGACAAGTTTTCTTTTGCCAAATTTACATCGATGTTCCGCTTCATAGCCACCGCCCAGATACAATAAGCAAGGCAAACATTTCCCAATCTTCTCCTCTCATCTTTTATTCTGCTATGTCTGCATTTAATCTTTCTATCATAATTAGCATTGTTGATGCATAATTAATTCTCATTTAAAGTAAATTTTTAATTTGAAACACTTAGATAGCTGTTCTTGATTATCTTTTTGAGAAAGCAGTAAAAAATGCTATTGTTGCGTTACGAGTTTGTTTAGTCACCGAGCTGCTTTCTGATGCACTGCAATGCCTCTATGGATGTTTTTCCACTTATAGTTTGTGTGTGTTTCTGCTGTCAAAATATGAAAGTGTTCTATTTTTGTGGGACAGGCTGTTACAGTCTTAAAAAAAATGCTGTACACAGCCTTGAAGTCAGTCACAGGGAGCCTCGGTGAGCCAGTTGCTGCAGGAACATTGCCGCCTCAATAATTTATCACACTGAGTCTATTTTCACTTGTTAAATTAATTAATTAGGTAATTAAAAGTACATGTTTTAATTAAATTTGCATTGAATTCAAACACAGGGCCTCCTCCTGAAAAGAAAGGCATCATGGGATGAAGTTCATCAGCTTGAATGAACTAACTTAAAATTCAATTCCATTTAGGAAGATGTGGATAAGTTGAAACATTATCTGTTTCATGCTCTGTGACCATTTCAGTCACTCTCCTTTGAAATAAGAGTTGAAGATAGTGACACTGCACTGCCTTACAAAGACAGGCAGCAGTAACTGCAGAAACAGTACGTTGATTAAAGCAAAAGGTTTGAAGGCTCTTTGCCAAGTTGTTTAACTTACAAAACTTTAGACGTATAACAATTATTAATAATTCTCACAGGTCTTAAATAATTCCTAAAAAATAGGGCTCGACCAATTATCAGCCTGGCCGATTATCGGCTGTGATATTCAAAAGTTTTATAATTATCAGAATCGGAATTTTACATCCGATTGCCAAATTAATTAATTTAAAAATATGCTTTTTTTTGCCAATCAACAGCAAAGGCTACTGTGTCACAAACGGGCAAAGACAAATGCAGGTCGGGTGCTAATTTGGGGAGCGAGCAGCTCCCTTTAAAAGGTGAAAGATGTGTCAAACTATCATTTTTAATCAAATATTGACTTGCCAACACATTACATTCTACAGACTTATGAAAACATTTTTGTTAGGTACAGATACCCGCAAACGTGACATGATCACAGGACAATATATTGTCAATGAAAATAAGAATAATGATGCAAAAGTGATAATTTCAATATCAATCAAAATTGACTGATAGGGGCGAGTTTTCAATCGTCGTTGCCGCTGTGGGTGTTTTGCTCACCAGCAACTACAGTATGTGTAGCCACTGCATGACGTCAGCCTGGATAGTCCTATACAAGTTGTAAAACCTCATAGCTCTGGGGTCTGCCACGTTGGACGTTCCAGGAGCTGTAAGCTAGATTTTGAAAGTACTCTTTTCCAATGAAAGTAGCAGCACTAGCTCCAAAAGTCAATACATCTAGCAAGGACGTCGCCAAGTCGGCAACACTGACAGCCATAACCTTCAGGCCTCCGCCCAAAGCCACTCCCCCAAAATCATCATTATGAACATAAACATAACGTACATAACTATGAACACGGCCATTGTTAGTCCTCAAAGCTGTCAAGCTAGCAGCCTGTGTCGTTTTATTCAGGCCAGGTGAAATGATTGGCTTATTATTACAGGCCTGCGACAGCCACAGATATGTTTCCTTTTTTTGTTGTTGATTGAGATGTAAAGAGA